GGACTACAGGTGCATGCCACCACGCCCAGCTAATTTTTGTATTTTAGGAGAGATGGGGTTTCACCATGTTGACCAGGATGGTCTCGATCTCTTGACTTTGTGATCCGCCCACCACAGCTTCCCAAAGTGCTTGAATTACAGGCATGAGCCACTGTGCCCGGCCAAAAAACTCAAATTTATCTTTTTCTTAACTTTTATTTTAGGTTCAGGGGTAAATGGGCAGGTTATATAGGTAAACTCATGTATGTCATGGGGCTCTGTTTACAGATTATCACACAGATATCTGTGTGACACAGATATCACACAGGTATTAAAAGCCTACTATCCAACAATTATTTTTTCTGCTTCTCTCCCTCCTCCCAGCCTTCACTGGACCCCAGTTTCTGTTGTTTCCTCGTGTCCATGAGTTCTCATCATTTAGCTACCACTTATAAACCAGAACAAGCGATATTTAATTTTCAGTTCCAAAATTAGTTTGCTAAGGAAAATGGCCTCCAGTTCCATTCATGTTCCTTCAGAAGACATAATCTTTCTTTTTTATGGCTGCACAGTATTCCATGGTGTATATGCACATTTTCTTTATCCAGTCTGTCACTGATGGGCAGTTAGGTTGAATCCATGTCTTTTCTATTGTGAATAGTACTGCAATGAACACTACATGTACGTGTCTTTATGACAGAATGAATTATATTCCTCTGGGTATACATATCCAGTAATAGGATTGCTTGGTTCAATGGTTCTAGAAAAGCCTTAGTTCTAGAAAAGCCTAATTTCATTTAAGTATTCTTTTGGTCTTAGACCAGAAACCAGCAAGCTTTTCCTGTAAGGAACCAGAAAGTAAATATTTTACGCCCTGGCGGGCCAGTCTGTGTCACATCTACTCAACTCTGCCACTATGGGGCAAAAGCAACCACAGACAATATATAAATAAATGAATGTGGCTGTGTTCTAATAAATCCTTATTTATCAATACTGAAATCTGAATTTCCCACAACTTTCATATATCATAAAACATTCTTTAACTTTTAAAAAATATAAAAATAATTTTCAGTTGGCCAGGAATGGTGGCTCATGCCTGTAATCCCAACTCCGTGGGAGGCCAAGGCAGGTGTATCACCCGAGGTCAGGAGTTCAAGACCAGACTGGCCAACATGGTGAAATCCCATCTCTACTAAAACATACAGAAAATTAGCCACGCGTGGTGGCGCGTGCCTGCAGTCTCAGCTATTCAGGAGCCTGAGGCAGGAGAAATGCTTGAACTCAAAGGGCGGAGGTTACAGTGAGCTGAGATCGTACCACTGCACTCCAGTCTGGTGACAGAACAAGACTTAATATAAAAAAAAAAAAAAAAATCATTTTCAGCTTACAGGCCATACAAAACAGGCAGGGGGCCAAATATGGCCAATTTATCATAGTTTGCTGACCCTACCATCCTTATACAAATTATGTTCAAGACTAGGTGTGGTTTTTAGCTATTTTAAACCGCTAAACAATAGCTAAATATATCCTGTTTTTAGTCCAATCTAACAGAGGTAACTTTTCAACAATATTGCCAGACTTTTAAAAATCACATATTCTGTAATCCAAAGAGTCTGCATAAGAACATTCAAAAAACATACCAGCACACTTGAGAGTCTGTCATTATATTCAAACCAACAGAGCTAATGTAAGAAAAACCTTGGCCCTAACCTGCAGGCACTCCATTCCTTTGGCTCATTTCCATGAGAAAGACAGGTGACCATCTATTTCATCACAAATTCTGGCTAGGATGTCAAGGCCATTGTTTACCTGACTGCAAAAGCCTATGATCTATGTTTAATCTGCAGGATAAAATAATAAACTCTAGGCAACATAAAACTTCTCATAAACAAATCTTAACAAAAGGCCTTAATATATAAACTAAATAAATTTCTAAAGAATTCCACGTTCGTCTATTCTTCTACCAATCATTCAACCAGTATAGTCCATTAGAAAGCACGACAGTTTTGTGATGCTTTGACAGTTTTGCTACTTTTTGATAGTTTTTCCCATATAGAATCCTATTTTCTGAATCTTATTTCAGTATTTCACCTACAGCTACCCAAAGAATGTTATAAGAAATTACTCCACAACACCCAGCACTGCATTTACCACATAAAAAAAAAAAAAATTGTAGCTGGAAGCACTCCCCTTGAAAACTGGCAAAAGATAAGAAGGTCCCCCTCACTCCTATTCAAAATAGTATTGGAAGTACTGGCCAGAACAATCAATTAAGGAGAAAAAAATAAAGGACATTCAAATAGGAAGAAAGAAGCGAAGCTATCCCTGTTGGCAGACAACATGATTCTATACCTAGAAAACCCCAGTCTCGGCCCAAAAGCTCCTTCATCTGATAGACAACTTCAGCAAAATTTCAGGACCCAAAATCACTAGCATCCCTATCCTATACACCAACAACAGCCAAGCTGAGAGCCAAATCAGAAAGGCAATCCCATTCACATCTGCCGCAAAAAGAATAAAATAACTAGGAATACAGCTAACCAGAGAGATTAAAGATCTCTACAATAAGAATTACAAAACACTGCTCAAAGAAATCAGAGATGAGGCAAACAAATGGAAATACATCCCATGCTCATGGATAGGAAGAATCAATATCCTTAAAATGGCCATTCTGCCCAAAGCAATTTGGACTCAATGCTATTCTTATCAAACTACCAATGACATTCTTCACCGAACTAGTAAAAGCTATTTAAGAATTCATATGAAATCCAAAAAGAGCCCAAATAGCCAAAGCAATCCTAAGCAAAAAGATCAATGCTAGGGGCATCATGTTACCTGGCTTCAAACTATACTACAGGACTACAGTAACCAAAACAGCATGGTACTGGTATTAAAACAAACACACAGACTAATGAAACAGAATAAAGCCCAGAAATACAGCTATACATCCACAATCATCTGATCTTTGACAAAGCTCACAAAACAAGCAATGGGGAAAGGACTCCCTATTCAATAAATGGTGCTGGGATAACTGGCTAGTCACATGCGAATGACTAAAACTGGACCCCTTCCTTACACAACAGACAAAAAAAATCAACTCAAGATGTTATAAAGACTTAAATGTAAAACCCAAAACTATAAAAACTCTGGAAGACAACCTAGACGATACCATTCTGGACATAGAAATGGGCAAAAATTTCATGACAAAGATGTCAAAAGCAATCACAAAAAAAGCAAAGATTGACAAATGGGATCTAATTAAACTAAAGAGCCTTTGCACAGCAAGAGAAACTACCAACAGACTAAACAGATAACCTACAGAATGGGAGAAAATTTTTGCAAACTATGCTGACAAAGGTCTAATATCCAGTATCTAAAAAATTTACACAAATTTATGAGAAAAAAAAAATCCTATTAAAAAGTAGGCAAAGGACATGAGCACTTTTCAAAAGAAGACATATGTGCAGCCAACATGCATATGTACAAAAGCTCAACATCACTGATCATGGGAGAAAAGCAAATCAAAACCATGAGATAATATCTCACACCAGTCAGAATGGCTATTATCAAAAAGTCAAAAAATAACAGATGCTGGCGAGATTGAGAAGAAAAGAGAACATTTATATACCGTTGGTGGGAGTGTAAAATAGTTCAACCATTGTGGAAAGCAGTGTGGCGATTCTTCAAAGAGCTACAACTACCATCTAACCCAGCAATCCCATTACTGGTTATATATCCAGGGGAATATAAATCATTCTGCCATAAAGATATATGCAGCACACGAATGTTCACTGCAGCACTATTCACAATAGCAAAGACATGGAATCAACTTAAATGCCCATCAGTGACAGACTGGATAAAGAAAATGTGGTACATATACACCATGGAATACTGTGCAGCCATGAAAAAGAAGGAAATCATGTCTTCTGCAGGAACATGGATGGAGCTGGAGGCCATAATCCTTAGCAAACCAACATAGGAACAGAAAACCAAATACTGCCTGTTCTCACCTATAAGTGGTAGCTAAATGATGAGAACTCACGGACACAAAGAAGGGTCCAACAGACACTGGGGTCTACTTGAGGGTAGAGGCTAGGAAGAGGGACAGGAGTAGAAAAAATAATTACTGGGTACTAGGTTTAGTACCTGAGTGACGAAATAATCTGTACAACAAACCTCTGTTACATGAGCTTACCTATTTCACAACCCTGCAAATGTACCCCTGAACCAAAAAACTTAAATAAAAAAAAAAAAGGGCGGGTGGAGGGGGTAAAAAATAAATAAAATTTTAAAAAATTTAAAAAAAAGAAATTACTCTGCAAAACCCAATGCTGTGTTAACTATTAAAAAAAATATTGTAGGCCAGGCATAGTGGCTGACACCTGTAATCCTGGCAGTTTGGGAAGCCGAGGGGAGGATTGTTTGAGTCCAGGAGTTCGAAACCTGCCTGGACAACATACCAAGATCCCTTCTCTACAATTTTTTTTTTTTAATTAGCCAGGTGTGGTGGCACATACCTGTAATCCTAGCTATTTGGAAGGCTGAGGCAGGAGGATCACCTGTGGCCATGAGTTTGAGGTTGCAGTGAGCCATGATCACTCCAGCCTGGACAATAAAGCAAGACCCTGTCTATTTTTAAAAAAAGAAAGAACCCTTGGGAGAAATTCCTCAGGCAGTACCATCAAGGAAGGAATGTTTTTCTCAAAAGATTTGTATGCCTTTTATACCTTATAGATGCTATATATATGATAGCCCAACATAAAATTGTCTTTTATTTAGCCACTAGGAAACAAAACTTTCACCATTCACCTCTAGTAATGGTGAATGAACTTAAGGCTTATATTTATATGTACTTCTAAAATCAGCTTCAAATTCCTGAATTATTTTTCTTGAATTTTCTTTTGAAAAAAAATCCTAACATATCATGTTCATGTAAGCTATCTCAAAAAAAGTGGGCATAAGTATTCAGTAGCATAAGAAACTATCACACATAGGCATCAATCAATCGGAAAATAATCTACCTCAAACAACTGCAATTTGTTCTTTGTGTGGCTTCAACAAAATCCCAGGATGCCACTTTAGCAGCTGTCTCTTCTTCACATAGACCACCTGATGAAGCAGAATACTTCCTCCTAAGATTTAAAGTTATAAAATTCTTTAGAATTCATAAAATTTTCTATTAAACCTGAATTTAGCATTAAAATGGATTTTAAACATCAATGTTTTGAGTAAAGAAAAACCATACAAATGACTGTTTAGATATCTTCTAATTATAATTATCAACATGCAATGTTTGAACTTATAAATGAAAATACACACTTTTTCTGTGCTCTGTTCATATTGCATTCTTGCCAAACTCTATCCACCACATGATTTGCTAATTTTCTGGGTATTTTCCCACCATGGTGGCTAGTACTATCGGAGTTGAAGCCATCAGAGACTGAAGAAAATTTGACCCACTTCTGAGCAGACTGAGGATCAACTGAAAACAAAACAGAACAAAAAACAGGCTGTAGGAGAATAATGGTAGGTTTAAAGTAACATTGTTTGGGTTTTTAAATAATTTGTGATACAAGCTGCTCCAGCTATCTGGTAAACTTATATTTTGAGACAAAAAGCATGTTACTCTTTGGAACCAGATCTCATTTGGCAAATGTGGCAATCAAGTACATCTCTGCAACCTTGCACTCTCAGTGCCAAAAGTGGGGTTCTCAGGAGCCGGGTAGGGCCAGCACAGGGTGGCGTGTGGGAGGAGGTAGGCTGAGGGCAAAGGAGGAAGTGTCCCATGGATCATGCTGTATAAGCAAACCAGATTATCCTAATGTGTCCAGAGTGATGTCATCAAGGTTGGGGGGCTGGTGGGTAGACCGGAAGGACTCAGGAGTAGTGGGAAGGGGCCCTGGACACTAGCCATGGAGATGCTGCACAGAGCCTGGCTTCCACATCGAGGTGGGAATTGGAGCCCAGGATGAGCCTCTGCGGTGGCACTCTGGCCCTTCTGTCCCTGCCAGCCTCTGACCTGGGTCAGTTAATCATTGCTGGACTCTGGCCAAACATTTTGGTGGTCTTATCTAGTTGGAAATCAGTCTTTTTTTTTAAGGTCAACTGAGCATGAGCATATTTCCCCTCCAATTTTAAAAAGCTCTTCTGTGTTTTTGTATATTTCTCCTCTGTTGTAAAAAGCTCTTCTGTGTTTTTGTTTTAAAGACGGATGAGGGAGGGCAGGGATATAAACCTGTTGCATGAGTCGATGGGTCAGAACTTTAGTATATGCATGCCTCCTTCTGAGTGACGGCATTTTGCAGAAAATAAGCACCTTGGTAACTAAACCCCTTTTAATAGCTAAAAAGCTTTAGTTCTGTATTGACAGTTACCATAAAAGTCTGGGTTCATTTTTGTAGGACTTAATGCCTAAGAATTAGAACACAGCAATGGGCTGCTGTTGGAGTAACGTATATTAAAATTATAAACACATAAAGCTTTAAAAATAAAAGTATGCAACTTTTAAATACAGAAAGCAAAATATCTAAAACAGGGAATGCAAACTGGATGGCAGTGTATCAGTGCTGATTTTCTGACTAAGAGGATGGAGTAATAGTTGTATATGAGAGTGTCCTTAATTTTGGGAAATACACTGAGTACACAGGAGTGATAGGACGTTATGTCTGTAGCTTGTTCTCAAATGGTTCAGAAAAAGACCAACGATAATGAATGTACATATAGAGAGAGAGGGCGATGAAGTAATAACAGTTTGGAAATCTGGTTAAGGAAATTCTTTGCACTACACTTGTGACTTCTCAAGAAGTTTGAAACTATTTCAAATTATTTCGTAAATACTTACTGTACATAAAATAACAGATTACCAGAGTTGATGAGACAAATTACTTCAATACCTGTTTGGACTTCCTCAGGAGACGTAGGTGGTGTAAGTGTAACTGAAGACATAGCAGGATCTCTTGTGGAAGCAGGCACTTGGTGGACACCCAAGCAAGATGATGAACAGTGAGTGGATCCCACAGAGCTAGGAGTAGGAATGTCTGACTGAGGGACTACAACAAAGCATGCTGGGTAGATCATTCTGACACCAGCTGAAAGGGGAAAAAAAGGACAGGAAAACCAATTACCTTTGTGACTAGTGAATTAGTTTCATTCAAAAGCACTACAAAGTAAAAGTAGGTATCGTATTTGTACAAATAAAAATGCATTTTTATAAATATAAGCTTCTTTGGCATAAGTTTTTCTTTTTTTGAGAAGAAACCAAAATAAGCTGTTAGTAGTGGTACCTTTGCTAAGAGAGATTTGGAAAAAAGCAGCTTTCCTTTTCATTTTTTAGATTTCTAGAAATGTGTTTTTTAAAACCTTTATTTGCACCTCTGACCAACTTAATGTGTATTACTTTTTCAATTTTATTTTGTGAGTTTAACAAAGGTAATCTGGACACTAGAATTATGAACCATTTTCTATATGCCTCTATTTTAAAAGTCTAAAAAAATGTGTTTTGTTTTTGTTTTTGTCACAACTGCTCTGATAGTAACGTGTTTATTAAAAGTGAACACTGGTAATCTTTTTATAAAACAAAAAAACCAGGCTGGGCATGGTGGCTCACACCTGTAATCCTTTGGGAGGCTGTGGCGGGCAGGTCACTTGAGGTCAGGAGTTCAAGACCAGCCTGGCCAACATGGTGAAACCCCATCTCTACTAAAACTAGAAAAATTAGCTGAATGTGGTGGTAGGCACCTGTAATCCCAGTACACAGGAGAGTGAGGCAGGAGACTGGCTTGAGCCTGTGAGGCGGAGGTTGCAGTGAGCAGGGATTGCATTGTTGCAGCCCCCTGGGCAATAACAAAGCAAGATTCTGTCTCAAAAAAAAAAAAAGAGGTAATCTTCAGGTATAACATAACATCACCATTGGATTCCATTAAATACAATATGGTAGATTCTAATTTCAATTATCTGCTAAATTATACTTTCTCCATGCCTCTTCTCATGCCTCTCTAAGGTAGAGTATATGTCTTTACTCCACTGTCAGGCTGTGTGACTTGCTCTGGAATGTAAGCATGTGATACGAACCACATCCTAACAGAAGCTTTAAGTGTTCTTGTAGGGTCAGTGCAGTTTCTCTTACTTCTGTCTTCTGCTATGAGATTAACATGTCACAGATATGGGTACTTTGTTAACCTGTGTCCCTGAATGAGAGGACATCAAGAATACAGCCAATCAAAAAATCTGACCCTTTGGGGCTGGGCACGGTGGCTCACGCCTGTAATCTCAGCACTCTGGGAGGCCGAGGAGGGTAGATCACTTGAGGTCAGGAGTTTGAGACCAGCCTGGCTAACACACCTAAACCCTGTCGCTACATGGTGGTGTGTGCCTATAATCCCAGCTACTCAGGAGGCTGAGGCAGGAGAATCACTTGAACCCAGGAGGTGAAGGAGGTTGCAATGAGCCAAGACAGTGCCACTGCAATCCAGCCTGGGCAACAGAGCGAAACTCCGTTACAAAAAAAAAAAAAAAATTATAAGACACGTTACAAAAAAAAAAAAAAAAAAAAAAAACCATACAACACAGGTTGTCAACTTTTCAGCCTCCAAATATTACTTCATCCATAATTAATTGGCCCATTCTAAGCATGGTTCTCTCTAGACAGAATATATTTCCCTGCCCCAATGACTTTGGCTTGGCCATTTAACTAGTTCTGTCTAATGCAATATAAGCAGATGCTACAGCAGAGGCTTTGAATACACGTATATGGTTAGGCTCAGTCCCTGTTATTCTTCTGTTCTCATAAGAACAGCGTGTCCTATATACTGGGATATTCATTTAACCTAGGTTACAGAATCAGCAGATACATGGGGCCAAACCACAGCTAAGATGCACCCCTTAAGTAATGTGGGCAGGAAATAAGAAATAATGTTTGGTGTTGAAAGCCACTGAGTTATTAGTCTTGTTTGTACTCGGCAAAATATAACTAATACACACAATCATGCATTTTCCCTTTAGGAATAATACTCAGGATCCATACCAACAAGAACTTCTACTGCAGCTAAAGAATCATCTTCCCAATCCATATCTTCCTGTTTTTCTTCAGACATGTCCTTCAAGCAACATGAGATAGGATAGAACTGTTTCCATTCACCAATTAATTTTTTTGTAGCTGAATCAGACATCTTGAATGCCTGTCCTGTTAGGGTGCCATTTAATCCAAATGGGCATAAGATAACTAGAAACCCAAAGCAGACATCAAATAAGTAACTAAGGACTGTTTTACCAAATAAGAACACAGTGAACAATATGGCAAGTAATTGTGCAATTATAAAAAAGAAAAGGAAACCAATAATAACCACTCCAGAGAAAAATCAATTTATTATACTTCATTATTGTGAAGAGAAAGTTCAACACTGAGTTTATTATATAAACTGTTAAAAATCTGTCTGCCCAAACTAATAGAAAGAAGCTGGGAATATTTGTGTATCCTTCAATTTACTTTGACTCCCACTGAGAAAAAGCATTCTAAGAAAAAGCAATCTGAGGAAAAACAATACAGATATATAAACCTAAATATTTATAATGTACTGCCATGTAAACTTTAAAAAGTAAATATTAGGTTTAAAGTTAAAATAAGAACACACTGCCAAGCCTTAAAAGCAAATCAGCAATGTTATAAAATATTTCTTCTAGAAGTCAACTATTTTCATAGTATAAATAGTATCAAAAGTCCCTTTGTAGCTATGTTAAACATGGCTTTGACCAGGTGTGGTGGCTGACACCTGTAATCCCAGCACTTTGGGAAGCTGAGGCAGGCGGATCACTAGAGGTCAGGTGTTCAAGACCGGCCTGGCCAACATGATGAAACCCAGTCTCTACTAAAAAAACACAAAAATTAGCCAGGCGTGGTGGCATGTGCCTGTAGTCCCAGCTGCTCAGGAGGCTGCGGCAGGACAATTCCTTGAACCCGGGAGGCAGAGGTTGCAGTGAGCTGGGATCACGCCACTGCACTTCAGCCTGGGTGACAGAGCAAAACTGTCTCCAAAACCAAAGAAACAAAATATGGCTTAGATGACCTGACACACAAGATAACCTTGAAAACTTTAACACATATAATCACAATATGCTATCTAAGAGAACATTTTAAACTACTTCACTGTTCATGGTCAAGAATTTTTTGGTAATACCTGTATTTAAAAACTTATTTCACTGACTTAATACTCTAATGGGGGAGAAAAAAGCAAATGACACCAAAATCATCATTAGGCTAAAGACCGGGCGGGAATTCCATTAATCCCAAAATGTAAAATTATGAAGTTCAATAACGATCTTCTTGAAACAATAAAAGATCAAATACCTACTATAATGAAATAATCTACCTTGAAATGGGCTATTAGACTGTTGAGCAAGGGTGATATGCTCTTCACTGAGAAGGTATACAGGTTGATGTTGGTTAATTTCCACACTGGTACAAACATTGCTGTCTCCATGCAAGAAAAAGGTGAAAGAGCAGGACAAGTGTTCACTAATAAAGAAGAAAAAGTTATATTTTAGTGATGACTAGTGGCCAAAAATTATGTTAACTTGCTTTTGTTTATTAGGAAGTATGCAAAAATGCATATTCTATTTTGCTCGGAAATTCTACTTCATCAGAAGGAAAAAAAAATCATGGATATGAGCAAAGACTTAGCTATAAGAAATGTTCTTCACAACACTGTTTATAATAGGAAAGGCTGCAAATAGAGGAACCAGTTAAACGAGTTAGGTACATTCACACATAGAATTATTATATAGCCACAAAAATAAGTTAAAGTAGAAGAGTAGGTTTATTGTAAAGGGACAGGCTACCAAAATAGTAGGGTCATTTTTTTCTTTTTCTCTTTTAAAGAAAGAGACAGGGTCTCACTATGTTGCCCAAGCTGGCCTATAACTCCTGGGTTCAAGGGGTCCTCTTGTCTCAGCCTCCAGAGTAGCTGGAACTACAGGCATGTGCCACTGTACCCAGCTGTCTCGTTTTTAACGAAAAAAAAAAGTTTTCTTTGGTTAAAGGGAATCAAGGCAGACAACAGAATGGTGACTTACTTTTTATCTTTGCCTATTTCCCATTCTCCCTAAGAAACTAAACACAAATATGTTTCTCATTTTATTCTCAATTGGGCTAATCAATCATTTCATGCAATCTCCTCCCAACCAATAGCGTTATTTTAAAAAAATAACGGGTCTCACAGTTGAAGGCATCCTAGAATAAAGAAAATATGCAAAATAGTACACCTTAATGAAACTCAGGTATGGCTGAGTATACAGGTTGAAAAATAGAAATTCCCAAGGACATCAGAGGTATCCTCTTTAAGAAACAATTAGAAGGGTCAAGTTGCCCAGAAGAGGATAAGAGTAAGAAGAATAAACTCTTCTCATTCCTTCTCCATTCATTTACCTTAGAAATTCATCTTAAAGAACCAGTTTCTTAAACTATGACAATCAACTCAAAACATGTTATACATATATGTATAAGCCCTCTTGAATTTCTTCTGGATAAGCAGAACACAGTGAATTAAAATTAAGTTATGGTAAAAGTAATGCTAGAATTAACAGAAGTACAGATGGTAGAAAAGAGGTGAAAAGCAATACAGGGCTAAAATTTCTTCATCTTATATACATGAAGGAGTCAATACAAATGTCTAAAGTTGATAGAACAAGAAATAGAAATTTAAACATGTTATTTAAGTTACAAATGTAACTGACAAAGGCTAGTCTGAAGGTAGTGAGTTATCTCAATTGACTGTTCAGTTAGTTGCACATCAAACTCTTTGTTCTACTCTTTCCCCTCTTTCCACTACCGCACATGACTAGTCTAAAAAATGTTTTCAGTACAAAAGAAATTTTTTAAGGCTGGGTACAGTGGCTCACGTCTGTAATCCCAGCACTTTGGGAGGCCAACGCAGGTGGATGACTTGAGGCCAAGAGTTGGAGACCAGCCTGGCCAACATGGTGAAACCCCCAGATCCCTAAAAATACAAAAAATTAGTCAGGTGTGGTGGCATGTGCCTGTAATCCTAGCTACTTGGGAGGGTAAGGCATGAGAATTGCTTGAACCTGGGATGTGGAAGCTGCAGTGAGCCAAGATCACACCACTGTACTCCAGTCTGCGCGACAGGGTAAGACTCTGCTTCAAAATAAATAAACAAATAACGTAACAGAAAAACTAAAAATAATATAAAAACCTTATTGTTCTTGGTAAGAAAGCAGTGACACTGGCCAGGAGTGGTGGCTCACGTCTGTAATCCCAGCACTTTGGGAGGCCGAGGTGGGTGGCTCGCCTGAGGTCAGGAGTTCAAAACCAGTCTGGTCAACATGGTGAAACCCTGTCTCTACTAAATACAAAAAAAGTAGCTAGCTGGGTGTGGTTGCAGGTGCCTGTAGTCCCTGCTACTCAGGAGGCTGAGGCAGGAGAATCGCTTGAACCTAGGAGGTGGAGGTTGCAGTGAGCTGAGATCATGACACTGCACTCTCATCCTAGACAACAGAGCAAGACTCTGTCTCAAAAANAAAAAAAAAAAAAAAAAAAAAAAAAAAAGCAGTGACATTGTTGAAAGTTAATAGAGCAATGCTCAAGAGGCAGTATAAAAATCTCTGGAATTATGACAGTAGCCACCAGAAGTAAAAAAAAAATTAAAAAAACAAACAAAAAAACACATACAAAAAACCAACCTGGTTGCTTCTGGGAATGGGACTTGGATATTGGAGCAGGAATCTTTAAGGTTTTTAAATTTGTAATACCATTCTGTTCTGCTTGAATTATATTAAAGTTTTTTAATTTTCAAAAATTATAAATTCTATATATTAATCAGTCATTACTATACATTTCCTCATGCCAATAATTTGTATTTTTATTTAATAAAGTTTTATTTAGGAATAATTTTAAATTTACAGAAAAGTTGCAAAGCCAGCATAGGGCACTCCCATATACCTTTCACCCAATTTCCCCTAATGTTAATGAACACCTTAGATAATTAACACTGATATATTACTCTTAGCCAAACTCCAGTCTTTATTTGGATTTTCTACTTATGTATATTTTCTGTTCCAGGATCCAATCCAAGACACCACATTGAATTTAACCAACAATTTTTAATAGAAAAGAAAAAAAAATAGCCAGTACAGTGGCTCATGCCTGTAAGCCCAGCACTTTGGGAGGCTGAGGCAGGCAGATCACCTGAGGTCAGGAGTTCGAGACCAGCCTGACCAATATGGTGAAACCCCATCTTATTAAAAAAAAAAAAAAGAAAAGAAACAAAAGAAAAAAAAAATAAGTTAAGCTTGTTTCTACTCTGATTAAAATGTTAATCTTAGCCAGGCGAGGTGGCTCACTCCTGTAATCCCAGCACTTTGGGAGGCCGAGGCAGGTGGATGATGACGAGGTCAGGAATTCGAGACCAGCCTATCTAATGTGGTGAAATCCTGTCTCTACTAAAAAAATACAAAAATTAGATGTGTCTGATAGCACACACCTGCAGTCCTAGCTACTCCAGAGGCTGAGGTAGGAGAATCACTTGAATCCGGAAGGCAGAGGCTGCAGTGAGCCAAGATTGAGCCACTGCACTCCAACCTGATGACAGAGTGAGACTCTGTCTGAAAAAACAACAAAAAAAATTTTTTCATCTTACTGGAATAATTATTGAAGAATCATGAAGACTAATGACATCTGCTTTAGTAAAAACGGTATAAATCTTTTTTTTTTTTTTTTTTTGAGGTGGAGTTTCGCTCTTGTTACCCAGGCTGGAGTGCAATGGCGCGATCTCGGCTCACCGCAACCTCCGCCTCCTGGGTTCAGGCAATTCTCCTGCCTCAACCTCCTGAGTAGCTGGGATTACAAGCACGCACCACCATGCCCAGCTAATGTTTTTTGTATTTTTAGTAGAGACGGGTTTCGCCATGTTGACCAGGATGGTCTCGATCTCTTGACCTCATGATCCACCCACCTCGGCCTCCCAAAGTGCTGGGATTACAGGCTTGAGCCACCCGTGCCCGGCCAAAACAGTATAAATCTTAAATAACCACCACATCAAGATGAGTAAAGAGACTGTTAATAAAAACTTTGAGAACTATCCACTCAGGAGCGGACCATTGCTATTGCTCATTTAAAGTAAAAAAACTGAAAACCAGGTATGGTAGGTAGCTCACACCTGCAATCCGAGCTACTGGAGAGGCAGAGTTGGCTGGGTTACTTGAGGCCTAGATTTCAAGGCCAGCCTGGCAACATAACAAGAGACTGTCTCTACAGAAAAATTAAAAAACAACAAGCCATGGTGGCACACATCTAGTCCCAGCTACTCCGGAGGCTGAGGCAGGAGGATTGCTTGAGCCCAGGAGCTATAATCGCACTACACTCTGGCCTAGACAACAGAGCAAGATCCTATCTCTTAAAAAAAAATTATTTAAGTAAATCAAAGAATATGACCAGACCGGCCCACTGGCCTAAGTAGAATTTACATATGGAATTGACCTCTACCTAAATCTATAGTTTGAAGCATAAAGTATGGCATCAACTGGCTGTAACCTCGTCCCACCTCTACCACCTCAAGTTGACCTCCAGTTACATGAATGAGAATACATAACTGCTATTTTTAAGCCTCTAAGATTTGGGGATGGTTTAGTTATAGCAAAATAACTGATACAGAAATTAGCACCAAAAGTGAGGTGCTGCCAAAACAAAAACCTGAAACATGTGGCTTCTGCTTTGGGACTAGATGATAGGTGGAAAGTAATCTATACACTAGAGAAATGAGAAAGCTACTATGTAAGACTGGGAAATGATGTCCCATGTTATATAATGGAGAAATACTTTGTAGAATTATTGCCAGAAATCATCTGCAAGGCAGAAAATGTGCCTAATGAACTTAAAGAACAGATCAAGTAAAAATGTAAATTGGTTTTTAAGAGCTATACTTGATAAAATACTAAAAGAAAGAGATAAAGAACAAAGCTTACTGGCTTGCAAGCATTAATTTAGATAGAGAAAATACAAACAAACAACTCAGGACCAGCAGGGTTGGAAAATGAAACAAATAAATGGTGCCATTACATAGCCTCAGGGAAAAGATCAAATCAAAGTATGACTCTAATATCCTTTGTTATAAATATTAAATATCATTTTTGATACCAGTTGAAACATTAAGGTTTGGATTTTTTCCTCATAGTTTTAAGCCTCTATGCATTTATTTTTCTCAAAGAAAGTATTAAATGTAAACAACCATATGCTTTGAATTTTCTTGTGTGGGAGTGCACATATAGCCATATTTGAATGTCCTCCTTCCTGACACAACTTTTCTATATAACTAAGGATGAGTAACAAAGTATATAAAAAAGGTAATTTCTAAATATTTTTATCTTAGCAAACCACTAATATTTAATAATTGAGAATACATCCATTATGCTCATTATACATACTGACATGCAACACATGCAGAAGCCAATTTTCAAAGCATTTTTCTCTCTTCACTATAATAAAGGACATGAGAATCTAAA